ATGATGCTATCACAGCGAATGCGCTTTGTTTCCTCTGAGAGACATGCGGCGTGACTCATTTTCCCGCGCGTACAAGTTATCTCAGGTCGGCGTTCACGGTTTGACGTCTGAGATTCAGAACGAATTCTAGGTAAATTTTTTCGAACTGGTTGATTAGACTTTTAAGAAATTCGAGTTCTAATAAGTTTGAGAACTGAGGTACCACTGTATTTAAAATCGGCGTACCTCTTCTCTATGTGGTTGGTGAAATGGGGGGTAACCCCTTCACAATCACAAAGTTTTGGGGTGGAAGAACCCTGCAAATGTGAAAATTTATGAATAATCCTTCAGCACCCCTAGCCTCAACCCATAACGGTCTGCTAGACTGAGCGATAACATAAAAATAACTTTTATTATCAATGTCTAAACAAACTGTACTGTACTGTATACTTTGCCTATACAATTACTTTGTCATTTCCTATCTAGGCTTTTAATATAATATACTAACCTAAATTATATCTGACTTGGTTTTACTTAAACTATGCTGATACAATGATTAGTTTTCATGCATAATTCCTTGAATGAACTCAGTTGAATCATGGACAGTGGTTCCAGAAAACTAGAATGAGTATTCCGAAAATGAAAAATCCTATTTAAGTTGATGCATTCACTTTGTGTTCTGAGAAGAGAACATAGTTGAGTTAATCTCGCTAAAAGAGTGCATTTCCATTGTTTCTAGACCAACTTTGGATGGAAGAACAAATCAAATGATTTTTTCCATTTAATATAATTTAGTAGGCTAAATATTTAAAAGCCCACCGTAATTGAGGATGGTACTGTATGTTGCAGATATTAGTCTACGACATCTTCTGTTTGGTGGTCTTCCTGAGTGCTTAGGATTGGTAGAGTCAATTGGTGTTTGCTCTTATAAGCAGCTCCAAAGAAACCCAGCATGTCAGAGGCAATGCAAGTAGGTCTTCATGTCATGTTGTTGGGTTCTGGGACAGGTTAGTACAGGGGGGAAAAAAAGAATAATCAGATTCCTCCATAGTGATCCACCCAAGAGACCCCACACAAAATCTCTTGCCCAGTCACAAAGCAGCACATAAGAGATGATCTCACAAATGTACCTGCTGCATCATTGCAATACTACATGGGAGTGAGTGGTTCCTGGAACTGTACAGCACAGCTCTGTTAATAATATTCTACATATCCAAGGCCATGCTAAGTAACCAAAATGGCTTCATATAAACAAATACAACACCACCAAGAGAGAATTGCTATCATGATTACAGATAAGGAACAACCCAAACACTCTATTAAAAAAACTAGACAGGATACAACACACTGAGAGACAACAATGGCAGAACAGGAAGCACAAAACTGGGAAAGACTAACAAAATCAAACACAAGGCAACAGAGAGATTAACAAGAGAACAAGGACAAAAAAAATTAAGACTATTGATCCCCAGATGAGGCTCTGGTTTAAAACCATACCCAAGAAAATCAGACAGATAGAACAGGCTAGACATGAGAGCTGTATGAACAAGCACCCTATTTGTAAAGATGAGGGAACATCCTGATAGGTCAGTACTTGGCAAAGTCTTCTTCATGATGGTGGGTGAAATAAACCACAGCTGCTGTTAGATTATATACCTTTAATTTAAGTTGAATGAAAGTGATTTCATCGGTTTGATAAGAGTAAAAAATGTAATGAGATTAACTCAACTGTGTTCTGTTCTCAGAACACAAACTGAATGCATCAACTTAAACAGAATGTTTCATTTTCAGAATACTCATTCTAGTTAGAACCGCTACCCATGATTCAATTAATTTGACCCAGTTCATTCAAAGAATTAAGCTTTGAATGAATTAAGCTATAAACTAATTTATAATGTATCAACATTATTTAAGTAAAACTAACAAGTCAGTTGAATATTTTTTTCAGTGTAAAACTAAATGCAACTTTTATGCACATTTCCATCTGACCTCTAGACGCTGTTCTTTTCTATTTCCTTCAAAATGTTCATGCCTGTTCTGTACCATTCGTAAATATGTGAATGTTTTCAGGGTTTGTTTTGCTTTATAAATCTGATAATCTTCTCCAAAAAAGCATAAGAATTGCGTCCTTGCTTTGGCCATTTTAAACAGCCAGTCACAGACTTGCCGATCATGGTTTTGAGTATCATTATATATAGCCTAATCAGTCAGGAGTGCACAATTATCTCGGATCATTTAATTTAGCCTGGCTAATCCAATTTTTCTGTGGCTTTGAAGAACCAAATAACAGTTTAAGGAGTTTAAGGATTTTAACCAGATAACTGTATCTGTGATTAGACAATCTGGCATGAGTCCTATGATCTTGGAAGTTTTAATCAATGTACAAGGAATTCCATGCCAGGCTAGGTTGTGAAA